ATTCATCACCTAGAGTTTCTTAAAAAATTTACCATTTGAAATTTTTAATATTCTCATTCTTTGATAATTATCAAATATTTTCAACCAAAAAATTGAAGTTATATTGTTAATATTTTTAATTGAAAAAAAATATAATTATTTTTATTGAAATTTCATTCAAATTATTCTACCATTGGGACATGTTTAGAGAAATTTTTTACCTAAAGATTTCTTAGAAAACTCACCATTTAAAATTTTTAAGAATCTCATCATTGGGTAATTAGTATTTAAATTCCAAAAATTTTTATTAAATTTGTGTTTTTTATTTTTTTAAATTAAAAATAAATATTAATTGTTACTATTAAAATTTTATCTAAATTATTTCATCATTTGTGATAAATTTAAAAAAATTTCTCAACTAGAAATTTTATAGAAATTAATCTTTTACAATTTCTAAAAATTTTATCATTGGATAATTATTATTTATTCTTAAAAATTTTATTTTTTAATTTTTTTTCTAATTTTTCTTAAAATTTAATCATGCAAAAATACATTAAAAATAAAAAAAATAAAGTAAATAAATAAAAAATATTCCAAAATAGGAACAATTCGATTTCACTGACTGACGGGCTTGGTTGTAGGCAGGGGAAGCGATTTGAATGGTGCAGCTTGCGGCTCGGCTCAGCTTGAGCCAAGGTTGGGGGCACAAATCAAAGGACGGGTCAACATTACGAGTCAAGTCAACTTGAATAGAAACATGCGAATCCTAGGCTGAGTTAAATGTCAAAACGACGTCGTTTAACAGAAGTATAAAAAATCAAATTCTTTTTTTTCCTCAAATTTTTTCTTTCTACTTTCTCTCCTCTTCTTTTTTATTTCTCTCTCTATAGAAACCATGAATGTCAATTGGTATGTTATGGAGTTGCTTGCCAAAATTTAGGAATCTCATTGAAAAATTCAAAGTTCATCGAAAACCGAAAAACTTACCAAAAGCTTTAACTTTCATCGAAATCTTTACTAAAAATTTCAAACTTCGCCAAAATCTTCATCATAAACTGAAAAATTTTGTCGAAATCTTAAAATTTTTAAAATTTTTCCAAAAAACAAAAAAATTTCATGCACTAATTTTTTTATTTTTCTACTAATTTCTTTTCTAATAATCTACTGATTTATCTACTAATTTTTTTGTGTGTTTTGTTGTTTAATGTGAGTCTATATTTATAAGGCTCAAACGATGAAAACCCTAAACTAGAAAAGAATTCTAATTTCCTTTAAATTTTAACTTCAAATTTTTAATTCAACTCAAACTTTACAATCTAACTCAAAATTTTACAATCCAATCAAACAGTTTCACACAAACTCAACCACTTGATTTTTTTCCATTTTTTCGTTTTTTTATTAACAAAAATAATTAAAATCCCAAATAGATTGGGGTTTCTACAATATTTTTAATCTTAGTTGTGATTGACAAATATTTAAAGATGTGTTGCAAAGCATAATGCTGTCGAAGAGACCAAACAATAAAACTACCAAGAAACTTTGATCAATCACAAAGAAATAAAACGTTAAGCACTCATCGAAGGAAATTATATAGATCAGTGCTATATTAGTTAACATGAAGCCTTGAACAGCTTTCATAATTCATGAGTAACGAAGGATCAAATATACCATGAATAGCTACAGTGACAAGCTGTTAAAGGAGCCTTCCATGTAGTAAATGGGCAGTGCAGGAGATGATGAATACCATAAATTCTTCTCCTAGTTAGAATACTGGTGCCTGCTTTATATAGGGGATTACCTCATTATCTTCTCTATCATCATATCAATATCATAAAGGTCTTTGAGCTCGTGGTTCCTTTTTTTGGGTCGTAATGGCTATGGTTTACCTTGGGCACAAGCCAGTTCTTAGCCCATTCCATTTTTCTTTGAGAAAATCCTCACTTTAGGCTCGTCAATTTAAGGAGAACTGGGTCTCAGCTTTTCAGTTCAGGCTTCTTTTTCCAGGTTTTCTTATTCTTCTTGCCAATTACCCTCAAGGGCCTCAAACTTGCCCACTTAATCAGCAACTAAAAGAAGGCTTCGGCCTTTTAGGCCCATAGCTTATAGTTTTTTCAATTGGGTCAATTGAAATTAAATCAACAGCTTTAAATTTTCACAAAGAAGCCAGTGTCAGGACCTGGGTCACCACTCTAAATCAATTTTGACTCAAAACAAAGGAGAATTTCCTCAAAATCGAGCAATGGGCCTTTTCATGCAATGAAACCACAGCATACTGGTTTGCAGTTATGAAATGACAACCATAACAATGATGAAAGGTTGCTTAAAAGAAGAAACAAAATAGTAAACCAAAATTTTAAGCACAAGAATGATAATTCTAAACAATTTTGTGATCCCCTTAAAGCATCATTACAACCTTGCCAATCTGCCATTGTATTTTTATGAACCTTAGTAGTTACCAAGCTGCTATACGTTCCATTCATGCAGGCATATGGAAGTAATTTTTTTCATTTTTCTAAAAACGAAAAGGACAGTAGACCAAAGCGTTTGACATACATCAGCTTGATGAAGTATTGATTCTATTAGATGTTCAAATCTCTCTAAAATGGCTTAGCAAATGCATATATATTTGTGCTTACAAGAAGTTTTCATGTTTTTTTTCTTTTTTTTTTTTAAGAAAAAAGGATTAAACCAATGTGACATGAACATCGAATGCTGCAGGCTGTTTACTCAGGAAAAATGGCCCATAAAATTAACCCATCTGACAAAATTTCCAACAGCCACCTGCCAAAAATTTCTGCTGAAGTTACCAATAGCTAAACTCCCTTATGATTATGATATAAAGCCATAGATATTGACCTTTGGTCAGATAATTAAGTTAGTTCTGAACATAAAAATTTAGGAAAAGCATCATGGAAAGCAAATTCTGAGCTATCCAATTTGGCCAAGGCTAACCATTGTTCTAGACACGCTCACTTTCAGACAAACACTAAATCAAAATCAGATTCCAGGATGAGTGATTTACACAAATAATGAAAGGAATATATCTTACCAAAGTTAGGCTATGGTCTAATTAAAAAGAGGAAACTATGGAAATGTATATTACTTTTATACTCTTCAAATTAAAGACCTCAAAAAAGTTCTAACCATCTAGGGTTTAATTTTACAGGTTCCATGGTATACCATATACAAGTAGTCAGTGCCCATGCCCTTTTGTTTAATCCCTATATTGATATCCCTGGCTAATGGTGAAGTTTTAAAACCTTGATGCAAGTATAATTCTTTAACTGTATCCAAGAAAGTTCAAGAAAAGTAAAATGATTTTAAGTTATGCTTCTTGAGTAAGGTTTATGTGTCATCCTATGAATGTTAGATATTTCAATAAGTTGTAGTGTTCTTCTTCTTGATTGCATAAATATTGAAAAAGCAGAATCTTAACGCAAATGATGTGATCCTTTGTTGAGTGGGAAAGGTTAAGATGTATGGTAGCATTAATATCCAAAATCAAACTCTGAAGTCTGAGACTGGAGCTCAACAATTCATGCTGACATATGCCCAAAAAGGAAAATTTTTATTCTTTCTGGCTGACCCCAACTAATTTTGGTAAGGCATATGATGAAAAAAGTAATCCTCAACTAGAATGTGTCTTCTAATAAACATCCATAATATATAGTATATTTTATGTTGCAGAGAACTTTTTAGATGAATGTAATACCTTCAAATGTTGTATAGTAATTTGTTCCCCCATACTGAAAATCTGTTCTTTAGCATACTTCTGTATTGAATAATTCCTCCATCTCAAACTCTACAAATCCCTGGTAATAATTTATTGGCATAGACCAAAAAATCTACCATGTAATATAATTGATTTGTATAGTTTATCAAACAAAAGTGGCAAATGATGCAGCAAAATATCATTTCTCAAGGTAGCAGACATGGAATAAGTTTGCAGCATCGGCTAGTGGAGCTTGCCATAGCCTATAGCTATACTACAACACTAAGCTTGATGCTGCTGTAGACACCCCACAAGAATTCCCACATTGCCATAATTAGTCTTTTAAATGTAAATATCTGTCCAAACCCAAATAGTTTTCTAAATGGAGTATGGCCTCATCATGTTGTCTTCAGGGTTAATAACCTAGACTATAATGTGAGGTAATCAAACACTAAGTTTATGATATCAGTTTCTTTTTAGGTCAATTCTAAAACATGCAGACGTGCACAAATATCCTCCACTTGTTTTGAATAGTATAAATAATATTTTAAGCTAAAGATTAGCATATAAATGCAGATTATCTGGGAAGCTAGAATTGAAGAAATTTATGGTGATAGTGGGGGAGGGGGGGGACCATAGTTAAGTCTTTTTAGGGTTTGTGGTTTTGTTTTTATCGGAGAACCAGCAAGTCTGTTGACATATATAGCAAGATTCTATGTCGAAAAAGCCCTCTTGGTTACTTTTGCTTCAACATTGCTTGGTCAGTGTATAGCTCAAATAGCCTGAACTTTTGGAACTTTAGTCGCATATATAATCCAGATTGATAAAGAAGGATATATAATTAATGCTGAACTCAAATGTCATTGGTAAGGTTAATAAGATTTTTTAGTGCAAAAGCGTTCGTAGTTTTGAGATACAAAAAGAATTTGCAGCCACATGTATTGAGATTTTAACCCGAGACTTGTTTTTGTCATCATATCGGAGAACAATGATTCAAATAGTCTACAATTTTAACCCAAGGTAAGTATTTCTTGTTAAACAGTACTATTGGGGACTAGTTTAAAAACTCTCTCAAAATTGATTAGGATAGGTTAGGTATATAATTAATTATATTCTCCCATCAAAATAGTTGTTGTGATGGTGATTTGGTGACCATTTTAGTTAAGCATTTAAATTTCATTGTACGATACATTCTTCATTCTTATTATGCATATATTATATTATAGTATATGTATAAAAAGAATAAAATTGAGACAGTTAACATGTCAAAATTGAGACGTTTGAGATTAATAAAATGACACAAATACCGAAATCTCGATTAATTATTAAATTATTTAATGATCAAGTGGATGTTTATTCAACTATAATCAAGTGGATGCCTCGTATATGATCATTTATGAATCTCGCATATCATTGAATGATATGTTATATCTTCATATGCATATGCATATACACATTTATATAATATAGGGAAGCTTGTGGATCTGAAAGAGCTACATGTCTAAGCTTGAGAACATCGAGTTCATCATCTGATCAGCTCCAAACGATGGCTGATGAACAATATCGATTGCTTCCGATTGCCAACGTGGTTAGGATTATGAAACACATCCTGCCACCAAGTGCCAAGATTTCAAAAGAGGCTAAACAAACAATGCAAGAATGTGTAACAGAGTTTATAAGCTTTGTCACTAGCGAGGCATCTGACAAGTGTCACAAAGAGAATCGAAAGACTCTGAATGGAGATGACATCTGTTGGGCTTTAACTGCTCTAGGGTTTGACAACTATGCTGAGGCCACAGTTAGGTATTTACATAAATATAGGGAGGCTGAAAGAGAGAAAGCTAGCAGCCAAAACAAAGCAACCAGCTCTCAAGACAAAGACGATGAAGAATCATCAGAGGATAACAGTCGCCAACCAGCTCATCAACAAACTGATTATGAAGCTCCAAGTCCAGTACTAGAGTTTAGAGTACACATATAGTACTACTAGGTGAAGATTTGCTATGGTGAATTGGTGAGATGTGAATGAGCAAGAACAAGGACAGGTTGTATATGAAAGATTTCGATCTCTCTTGCTTTTGTTGTGTGAACTGAGTAATCACTGTATACTCAGGTAATTTTGTATCTTAATTTCTTTGATTCACTGTCATGATGTTTTTCTCCTTTTCACTCTTTCCTCCCCCATTCTCTCTCTTATTCCCCACATTTTGCTTCAGATGGAAACTTCTGTGATGTTAATCACTATATCAGTATTCAATCTCCTTGTCCATTAATTTTATCTAGCTGGAAACGATACTTTAGAGGAGTTTAATGGTATTTTTCTGAACTTATCGTTTGGTGCAACTAAAGTTTGAACTGTATGCATGCTTAGAGAAGAGGCGACAGATTCACTATAGTATAAGTCATTGGACTGCAGATTAACATGTTACATGCTACACAATCAGATATATAGACAGATCAGATGAGATGAAATGAAATCAGATCAGTAAGAAAGCTATAGACACATGAGAACCCAGTTGACAATGTAATTAATGTATGTACATGATCATATATAATCTTGACAAGAGTAGAATTTATCAGATATTATTTTCTTACAAACTGTATAACCCAATATTAAACTCTTACAAGGATGCTGATTTTCCAACTTCTGTTGTTCTGATCAATAGTGCATAAAAGATGATAAATTCAGTATCATTTGAAAGATAAAAGTTAACTGTTGATACAGAGGTATTTACATGAACCATTTACAGTTGTATTCAGTCGTGTTGTATGATCACGCGTAGTCGTATAATTCACTGATTAATCTAGCCAAGGCTCTTGAGGTGGAGAATGTGGCTATACATTAAGCATTCTTCACCAAAAGGGTCAACAATCAAACTCAAATTGCTGCATACTTCATATCAGTTCTTTGGCGCCTATTTCAATCCCCTGTTGAAAACAACCATGCCCTAGCACTCATTCCCATTTCCTTTCCCTTTCTAAACTTTTCCAGAAAGTTTTCAGTATATCCTGCCTTGAAACTATAAATACCCTTTCTGGATCTGTGTTAGGTTAAACTACACTAGGTTAAGAGTTTCCTGAACCCTAGAAACAGAAACCACTGAAACTGTTGCTTCACATTACGTGAAAAATCGTGAAACTGCAATTTAAATCTGCAGGCATGCCTTTTTTTAACTATATATCCAATGGTTCAGGCAATCTTTCCATTAAAGATATTGCTTGAATCCTTATTAATAAACCTAGAAAATATCAGTCAAAGGGTAGGGCATCAAACCTAGGGTTGCTGTAAATTATCTCCTAGGGGACCACTTCTCAACTCTGGCATGTTAGCACGTTGCCCTCGCTTTTCATCCATTAGAACAATGAGCCGCACTTCACACAGAAGGGGTGAAAGAAATTCCAATTCAAAATGTTTCGCCTTCAAAGGAGAAAGAATAATACATGAATGAGGTAGTATGTACAAGAGAAAAGCTGATAAAACCTCACACTTTTTGCACGAACCATAAACAATATTCCAGAATTCTGTGTGATGGTTTCTTCATATATTAATTTTGAAAGCCTTAAAATTTTGAGTAACTATATTAATGTACTAATCTGCAGTGGTATTCTTGACAGGATGATTTTGGAAACCTCAAAACTCTGGAACCAACTATATCAATGAAGTATTATGGGAGGTTTTCTTGATAGAATGATTTAAAAGATAAAGCTGCTGCCACTGGCTCTTACCATGGAATTGCAGTATTGAGTTTCATAACCTGAACAGCCTGCATCCCTTGTCTGCGAGTGCCAGCTGGAGCTTTGGCAATGGTGAATGCCGATTAACTAAAGCAATCTTGTAATGGCGTTTGGTGCGCCCATTTTCCAGGACAGAAGGCAAGAGAATTATGAATTGTCCATGTGAGCTAACTCAGCTAATCAAGTGCAACATATGCATGATCTTTGTTATCAACTAAAAATGCTGATGGTCCGGAACAAAGTTTATGCATGTAATGATATAAGAATGGTTTGAGAATGTGCATGCATGGATATTGATTTGCTCCATTCACAACATGGGCATTTCTAGGGTACTAGGAAAAGAATGTCTTTGTTTAAATTCTTGAATCTTTTTTTTTCCTTTGAATTTTATCAAAATAACTTTTATCTCCCCCCAAATCTACTATAGCATTTGAATCAACAGAAAACAATATATATCTGCAACTTTCAGTCAAAAACTAATCAAAGACGAGCAATATTCTTTACCTTGCTTCTACATTGGTTAAGGCAAATTAAGAACAGTTTGAATCTTTTTTTACCACCAACAATATCGCTTGGTGAATAATAGCTGGCTGCTAATTTAACTATGTCCTGGTTCCTTAAAAACTGATTGCTCAGTAACTTAAAAGAATATGAAAATATAAAGGTATTATACCACCATTGAGAAAATTAGTTAATCCGGTAAGTTACTAAAAAATTATCATTGACCGATAATACGCATTTAGATTTTTCAATTCTAAGCTCAATATATAACAAGTATAAAAAATAGTAATCACCCTTTTCTAAGTATATAAGTTGCATTGCAATATTTAATTCATTGTGTTGAACAATGAGTGCTTCTTTTCCTTTTTTTTTTTTTTTCTGAAATATTAATATTTAAATATTATAATATATTTTCTTTCTTTTTTTCCTATTAATTTTTATTTTATGTGTTGTTTTGATATGTAATATAAAAATTATGATATGCTATTATGTGTTTAACTGATTTTGTTTGGTGATGTTTGTTTAACTAATTTCCCTTTATTTATAAAAGCAAAGGTGCATAAGCTAATGCCTATTAAGGCCATTAGGCCAACACTTTATCCAAACCCATGAGTAACCATGACCCACCCACCTAAGCCATTGTATAATAGAAAGGTGGCCCAACCTTAAACAAACTATGGCACCAGAGAGCCCAAAACAGGAATTGTAGGTAACCAATTCTTGGCTTATTCGAGCCAATGCCTTTGTGCAGCCCAATTGCTTTTGGGTTGCATAGAGCACCCTGAGAAGAGAATGAAACTCCAGAGAACACAACACATTCCTTTACAAATTTTGTTTCATAAATCATGAGTGAATGATGAATCCTTCCCTTCCACAACAATTTTTCTTACATTCAATATGGTAATGACTAAATGACATAGCCAGGCTGTTGAAAAACAAAACCATACGTCAAGCATTTCATAAACATTGGCGCTAACAATGTCTTCCAAGAGTGAAGAAATTTCTCTGTACAGAATAGGTCTCCTTAAAAGAACAATTTGGATATCACTAGATCCATCTACTAACAATGGATACCTTATCTTTTTTACCTCTAATATTCCAACTATCACCAGGAGGATGCAAAAAATCATTCATGCAATTTTGAAAAGAATCAACTACTCCTATCAATAGAAGCTTCTACAAATCCCCAACCATCATCAATATCTGGTCCTACCCAATAACCCGTTATAAAAATACGAGTACAAGGACTTACATTCAAACTACATGAAATAATTTCATCAAAATGCTTTGAAAGGGTGGTCAGATAACGTTGACCATGGACAGAAAATATGCCTTTATTTGAGCTGCAGGGGGCCAGAAAATAGGATGCTGCAAGTAGAAATATGTAATATTAGATTACAAAGGCACACACTAGCAAGGGGATGGCCAAAACAAACACCCAACATATAACCAAATATACCATTCTCAACATATCAACAATCAGAAATTGATTTACAATGTTAATCTCGGATATTACACCTATTTTTATTTTGTTCTTGAAACAATTATTCTTGCAAATCAAAGTGGTTATTCCAGTGACACAATGTTAATCTTGGACATCACACCTATTTAATCACTTGAACAGATCAATTCGCATTCATCTTATGGGTTTTGATTTCATCTTTCACCTTCCTATATAACCCTTCAGTCAATATTCTGAAATTCTCTAGGCAGAGTTACAGCTTGCAATGAAAATACTTGTAAAAATGTAATATGCATTTTAAAATGGGCTAATGATGATGAGATGAAGAGAGTAAATTAATGATTGATAAAACTTGACCCTTAATTTCAGGACTCTATCCCAATCTACATGAACCTCAGCAGTTGGAAAGTTTAGAAAATCAAGCCAAATCCATTGAGCTCAAGGCCTCAAGCTTTAATTCAATAAACAATGCAAAGAAATAGCTAAAAATACAAACAAAATCTTAAGCTTCATCAAACAAAGATTTCCAGCAATCAAAGAAAAACCACAGTCAATAAATTAGCTTCATTTCCAGGCCTGACTAAATTCTAGCCTAAACCCATCATCTGAATTCACTTAATTCACATGTTATGTTTTCACTACTAGTTTACTCTAATCAAAATGATTGAGAATTATATAAATGAATCATGCTTTCAAGGTTCCTGACAAAAAAATACATATATAAGTAGAAATAATAACCTGTTTTGGTGGTTGTCAGGCCTGGAAGTCTACAGGAACCTGGTTTCTTTGGATATCTACCCTGGATAAAGGTTCAAACAAAAATCATAAATTTAACTAAGGAAAGCAATAAAATGTTTTGTTAGAGAATTTAGCTGGATTGCGAGATTTTTACTTTTTACAACAATTTTTTGAGGGAGAGAATTTGGAGAAAGACATGGGTTTGAGGTTTCGAGGAGGGAGTTACCTTAGGTGGGTTTTGAAGAGAACAGAGAGGAACTGAGAAGCTTATGTGAACGAGGCACGCCATTGAAGCTCCAGTTGAAGAACAAGAGAGGTTTCAGGGTTTAAGAACACGGAAGAAAAGTGATGTCTCCAAGAAAGAAGGTTTGTAAACGACGCCGTTGCTTTAATGTTCATGCTTTAAAGTTTTTTCTTTTTTTTTTTTTAATTTTGTTTTCCTTTGCTTCAATCAATTTTGTTTTTGGACAAGCATTGGAAAATTTTGATTAATGGCTTTTCTCATTTATCCTAAATAAAGAAAACATAAAATTTATATATATATTGAGTTATAAATTAAATTTTAAATTCAAAAATTTTAAGATTTAAATTTAAATTTAAAGCTTTCAAAATCGACTCTAATATCATTTATTATTAAAAAACATAAATTTTATCACTTATAATAATTTGAACCTAAAATGCTTAAATAATTTCTCTAAATTTAATTTATGGATGAAAAATAAATTCATGTTTAGAATTTTCTTGGTAAAGAAACTTGAACACAAATTTCCTTTTCAATATTATAAATTCATTAACACTTACAACATGAATATCGTAAAGAGACAATGCTAAACAAAACATAATTAAGTCCTACGTTGTCAAAATCCACTTTCAAATAGCAAAAAACCTATGTTTCATCAAAATAAATAGCAACTAATGATAAAATTATTTATTTAATTAATTCGATTAATTTTGAATTAAATTTTTTAAAATTAAATTAATTAAATGACATAATTTTATTTTCGTTAATCGAGTCAAATTTATAAATTTTTAAAATTAATCAATCGTATTTCATTTGGTCGATTCGATTAATTTTTTTATTAATCAAATAATAAATATATTGAAACTAAATTATATTTTTAATTTTTTATATTTTAAACAAATTAAATAAATTTTTTTAACAAAATATTTAAATATCAAAATATTATATTAAAAATTTTAACAACTTATGAAATTAAATAATCCATTTCATGTATTTTTTATTTTATATTTGAATATTATTATATTTTTATTAAAATTTAAATTTTTTAAAATTATTTTTATTAATTGATCAAAATTAATTTAATAATTAATTAATTAATCAAATTAAATTGATTCAATCCATTAATTCAATTAAAATCGAATTATGAAAATCCCTAATAAAGGTTCCATTCTGAATTTCTGATTTTCATTTGAACTCTTACGGGATTTGTGCCTTTTCTTCTCCTGCTTCTTACTGCCGTTACAAAATCAATGCTCAGAACCATGAATCTACATAAAAAGCAGAGTATAAAAACTAACAAGGAACAAATTGTATGGAACATACTCATCATGCAAGCTATGCCCCCAACAAGATTTCAGTTTCCTGTTGATGTGCTTCATATACTTCTCTGTGGGGAATTTGTACGTCCTAACCTGTAGATGTTGCCAGAAAAAAATATATCAGTAAATCAGTAAAACCTTGCATATTCTTATTGCTGAATTGCAGAATAATAATTTATCATAATCCTAAGAGAATTTCATGCATTATGATGCAGCTCATACCTTTCAAAGTCGAGAACTCTATGCATTCCATTTGCACTGCGTAAAGCAGCCGGTGTGGACTGTAACATAGCAATAGACAAGCCATGCCATTAGAAAGCATATTAGAGGAAGATGCACAGAAACATCAGACCTGTCATCCAGATGTGACAAGTGCAAATGTGAAGATGATTAGCAGTTAGCATACCACAAAGGCAAGAAGTTCATAAATGTAGCAAGCTTTTCTTTTTGGTACATATAACTATAAAGAAGAAAGGTAGCCATGCCTGATACACAATCATCTCGTAATCAAGAATCATTTGATGATCCTGTGAAATCCCCTTACCAAGCTCCTCTGCTAAGACACGATTTTCTTCTTACAGGCTGCATACATACAGGTTAACCTACAGATATAAAGAAACTTTTTCAATTTAACATTTACAATATTCTCTATAGAAAATTTGAACTCGAGGGTAATCATTTGTCAAAAGAACATGTTATCCAGCATCATATATCAAATTACAAAATTAATGAAAAGAGACAAATTCCAAGGACACACAACTTTCACTTCAACAGAATTAGGGACGGGTACACTAGCTCATGATGCATTTTTCTTACATACTCTTTAAGTGCATATCAAAATGGGTCATACAACACATTACGTGAGGAGTTAGCAAGCATTAGAGCATAAAACAGACAGAGATATAGAAGAACCATACATTATATGTTTTGGATGATGTTCCATGACCGACCATTACAGGTAAAACCTTTTGAAATAAATTAGAGCTGTTGCCTGCAAAACATGAATCAGAAACAGAAGTGCATATTAAAAACATTCCGATTATGACCTCATAATTGTTCATTAGTATGACAGTTATTTTAAAAAAAGTAACAAGTACCTGAACAATCAAAATATCACATGGTATGCTTTGTGTGTATCAAACTAAGCACCTCATAATAAAAAAATATGACAGCCCAATGCGTAAAACGCTCCCACTATAGGCGGGTCGGGAGAAAGGTCTATTGTACACAGTCTTTCCTTGCATTTTTGCAAGAGGCTGTTTCTACGATTAGAACCCCTAATCACCACGTCACATGGCAGCAATCTTACTGATTGCATCAAGGCTCCCCTTCTAAAATAAGCACCTCATAATAAATGGAAGAAGAAAAACAAAAGGTATTTCCCATCATCTCTTGCAACAGGTTCAGGGTACGAAAAGTGAACCATCAGCATCAACTTCCATTTATGTTGTTCCATACCTCAAGACAAATGAGCGAGTCAGCTTCTATAAAATGAACAATGCAAAGAAAAATCGACAAGGGATGCTTTCAGTAGCAGACATTTGCAATTGACGAAATTTAAATGCTGCAAATGGAAAGTAACAAATGGAGTTCAACATCAATTCCATCTAATCTAGAAAAATAATAAGCATCCGTACACACACAATTGAAAAGCAAAGACTCTGCCATACCTTCTTCAGTGTTTGTGTTGCTCTTTGATTAGCAGCCTTGTATTTATCGATCTATATAATAATAAAACAAGAATAATTTTACCAAAAAAGGCACAAAAGAAATCTAATTTGAACTCGGGAAAGTTCTCTATTAATTGTACTATTAATTACTACTTAACTTTGAGAAAACAATAAAATCAAGCAACCAAGAAGAAAATTAAGCAAAGATATTAGCACCAGAAGCTTGTAATCAATATAAATAGTGAAAAATAAACGGATTGAATGGAAATTTTTTATTTTTCCTTACATTTTCTCACTGACCAAACGGGAAAAGAAACAATGATAGACTTCCGGGGTAGATGCTGGTTATCAATTAATTGTATAAAGGCTCTTTAAAGGCCAGGCCTTCCAATTTTTGTGAAGAAGTATGACAGTGAGCGTCCAGGCATGAGTCAGCCCTATTGCCATCCGATCACAAATGAGTGTTCAAAAGAATGTTTTACTTTAGGATGCTTCTTGGAGAACAAAATATAAGAACCTTTGTATATCAAACAATAACAATACCTTCAGTACACTAAGGACCATCTTCTATAATAACATGAAAACCTGAAACTGAAATGGAACTAGAAAAAATTGAAATAGTATTACAAGTATTTCTTGTGTTTATGTTTTTGTTTACTGTCTTTTGTTCGAGTTCGATTTTGTTGCACCCAAATGAAATTTTTTAATTTTTTAGGAAGGATTAAGAGACGCTCGCATATTCCACAGCATTATATAGTATGTATTTTATGGCAAGAATAATCCACTTGTATTATTATACGCATGCATTTAATAGCAAGAAAAATCCATCAGTATTACTATAAAATTATAACTGTTGCCATATATTTACTGACTTCCTTGCCTCTTCTCTATGTGAATTAGCTATATAAATGTCTCTTGGTTCTTTGCAGTAGGCCTCACCATCCCAACTCAAAAAAACAAAAACATGGCTTCCCCCAAGTGTTACTGCAACTATTTTCTTCTTGCTTTCCTAGCCACCTCCCTCTTCATCAAACCTGCCTTAAGTGATGAAGAAACTCAAAAGCTGATCGACAAAATCTGTCATCAAATGGAGGATTATGCATTTTGTGACAACACTTTCAAGCAAAATATTAAAGGTTCAAGTGCTGATATTGTAGCTCTAACCCAAATAACCATAGAGCTAGTCAGCGGCAATGCAGCCAACACCCATAGTTTCATCACTGGACTCCTCCAAAAGAAGAACGATCCAGCGGAGAAGAACGCTCTTATAACCTGTGAAAATGCTTATCACCTAGTGATGGGTAGTTTCCAACAAGCATCAGTGGCTTTCTTTCACAAAGATTATAACAGCATGTTACAGTCAGAGAGTCGAGCACCAAGAGCACAAGCTAGTTGCACCACTATCTACAACACTCCACCAAATCCTCCTAACCCTGTTGGGGATAGAAATAGACAAATGAGGATCTTGATTGCCATGGCCATAGCTGCTGGAACTGCTCTTACCTCTGGCCACAGTAATTTTAATGCAGCCTAAACACATGTAGTCAGAGAAGAAATCAATAATGTCTTAATGTCATATAAACACAAATCTAGTGGTTGTTGGCTCCAGAGAGTTAAGTTTTGTGGTTTTAAAGCCTCTCTTTACTGTATCCTTAAATTTATTATAGATATTTTTAATAAAATATTAATAAAATTTTTAACATTGAATAAGTATCGATTAAATTTAAATTATAAATAATATTTTTAATAATTTTTTTATATATTATTAATCTTTACATTAAATTTTATTCATCTATTGATTTGAATTTTTTATTTAAATTTTTATTTACTTATTTTTAATAAAAATTTCACAAACTTTACCTTAAAACTTCATATAAGCTTTGTCCCCTATCGACATCTCATTCTTCAAAGGAAAAGAATCTTTTGCTTCATTCTCAACGGTGCTTTTGCGCTACTTAAATGGTATATATTCTAATCAAGTTTGACATATTAAAAAAAACATCAAATTAAGTAATTAATCTATGTATTTATATGAAATTTGGATTTTAATCCTTACACAATAATTTATAAAAATTATATCTTTATACTAGTTTAATTTAATAATATTAATCTAATGGATAACAATGATACTTGATCTTTATTAAATTAATTAACGTAATTACTGATCATGT